CATGAAAACTATAACAAGCACAAAATAGTTACGAGATCAGTCCCAGGGACCAAACCCATGCTGAAAGAGTTAAAGTATCATAGTTATCGGACATTGTATTTTTTGTGCATGCTATCATTGTGTTATAAACTGAATATTTGAAATAAATAAAAATTATGTTTATGGTAACTTGAGCATGGTGCTCTGCAGGTGATGTATATGTTTGTTACATAGGTTTAGTAGTTAGACATTGTTCAAAGAGTAAAAAAATTAAATCAAATGAATACAAATGTAAACTGTTACAAGGCTGATGTTGTTTAGGATAAATAATTGTGATTCTTGAGAAAAAAAAGAAGATAATTAGTTTTATTTCCTTTTTTTCCCCTATACTGCTGATTTTGCTAGTTACTTTTAAGGTAGAGAAAATAACAGATAGTTTTACTGAAAATAAAAAGGTTTAATATTCTTTCAGGAGGTTCTAGAGGCTGTGCAAATGAAATATGAAAACTGTATTTTTAACATATAAATCATCTTGTACTCAAGGTCAGTCAGGGTCTGAGTCAGAATGACTCCATATATTCCCAGACAAATCTCTTGTAAAAATACATTATTACAAATTCTGTTTTTTGGAGTACAATACACTTGTAATGTTTACTAACAGAGTACAAAATTTCATGAAGATACACTTAGTAAATTCAGAATTATAGTGAACATTATGATAACAACCCTATAACCCAAGCACTTTTAGAAAGGTGGACCTTTCTTCTTCCTGTTCCTGAAGAAGAAAGGTCCACTTTTTAAAAGCGCTTGGGTTATAGAGTTGTTATCATTTTGTATTAAGACTTCTTGAACCTATGTGTTTTTCTGACATCATAATTATAGTAAACATTGTTATGTATAGCTTCATAAAAATGGGGGTTTGGTGCAATGCATCAACATCATACATGTAAGTTTAAAACATCTTCATTACTGCACAGTGTCTAAAAGACACCTAGAGTTGTGCCTTAAAGTTTATAGGTTTATCCAAGTAGAAAATTCATTCTTTTGAAGGTTAAGGTTTTATACGTACTTTTAAAAGGATCGATATAAGTGTTTTTTGTTTATTAATAAGATATAGACTAATTAGTTTTTGTGGACATTCATATTTAACTGGAATACAATGTACATTTTAAAAAGCATGTTTTATTTCAGTATATATCATTACCAATAAATATAATAATGGAACATGGAGAAATCACACCTGTTCTACATGTTCATTATATCTTATTCAGACGCTAGTATACTTCACTAATGAGTCTACAAAAATACCTAAAGGCACAGTTTTATCATAAATAACAACATATAAAGTCAAAATAATAATTTCAATTCCAATCAGCAGACTTGTGGTATTAAAGTGCATGTATGTTTTTTTTTTATTAAATATTTTTATAACAGTTCTATGTATAAAGAGAAAAATTCTAAGTTAAAACTGCATCCTGTCTTTTTCCATTCCAGACAAATTTCAAAAGAGAACTGCTACTAAGTATTTAAATCTATAAACATTATACCAACCTAAAATAACCACATTTACTAACAAAAAAGTCATATTTGTACTCCAAGATGCCTTATCTAGCATTAGTCCACACAAGATATTAAAATCTTATTTAAAGGAAAACATTAAGATGAAAGGTACTGAAAAAATAAAGCAGAAAATTTACATAAGATACAAAATGATTATATGTAAATATTTACTGTGTGTGATAGTCTATAATTTTATACTTTTGCTATATTAAGAAGATATACAAACCAATTCTTACCAACTAAATAATAAATTTTTTAAACTTGACTAATGATAGAAATGTTAAAATTTCCTTGCTCATTTAAGTTAACCATGCTTTAGTAAATGACTTTAACTACACACAGTCTTTTACTTAAAATATTTCTTACCTCCTGATGTGTCTTCAATATTGACTTTGGGCTGGAAAAGCTGTTTATGATGTGGTTTGCAGTATATTTCTCCTCCATGAGATGAGTAGGTGTCCACACTGTTATACAAAATTATTAGAATAAATCTTGGTCATAAAAAGGTTTGTATAATTGACTGAGGTAAATTTTACATATCTCTAAACAAAATATTCTTGTGGTGTAGTAACAGTTCATGCCCACCATAGACATTTCTTTGCAGACATCATGAATTACTGCAATACTGTCAGCAATGATTGAATACCACAGAGACCCAGGAGAATCTAGCACCTTTACAACTACAATACTGCAAAGAAATATTTAGTTTACAGAATCTAATAGCTTAAAAGTTAAATGTAAACAAATGTTAACTTAGCATTTGAATAGAAATATTTTTTAAACATGATAACATGCATAATAAGCCTTTCATTCAAATGGCTACTTTAATAATAATAATAATAATGAAAAGAAATAATTTACTTACTTAAGTGATTTTCCACACTCCTTGCAACGAAAGCAGGACTTATGAAAAGCACTTTTCACAGCCATAATTTTGTCCATCAGGTAAACATGCTTCCCACAAACTTTACACAACACTTCCTGTTCCTCTTGCTGGCTCTAAGGAATGATAACTAAATGGTTGTAAAGCAAACTTGTATATAGAAACCACACAGCATGAATAATGAACATTTCAGGTCCTCATTAAATATATGGCTCAACATGAATAAAGTACTCATGCATTAAGAGTGAATGAAAATGTTAAATGTGTGTGTGTGTGTTTATAACAATTTCTTTTTAAATATCAGAAATTGATATTGGTATAGAGTATAATTTATGGAATACCCCCCCCCCCTTTTAAACTAGGATCAATTATGTTAAATATACATATTAAGTATACTGTTATGCAAATTAATTTAAGTTTAATAAGGTTTTTCAATATGTGGTTTAGAAGCTGAATCAAATACAATATACATAAGTTACAGGTATCCTTTATTGTGCACGACACAAGGTTTCAGAGTCTTACATTCAAAAGTTTATTAAACTACTTTTTATGTTTTTACCAATAAGTATAGCATAAAATCTTAGCTAATAATCCATATTTTAACAGTATATAAGTTTTAAGTTCTTAATTCTACAAGACAATATTAAAAATAAATCTTGAATTCCCCCTAGTGTGACTCACATGACACATTTTCTCTTAGCATGTCATCTTCCCTATTTTATCCACAACCCCTCGAAAAAGTACAAAATTAAACGTAAATTACTCTCTACAAAATCTTAATTGCTCAGACAAACCATACTTTCTATAGTCTTCAATTTTGTTTGGTTACAGAGTTATTGAATAGAAAATCAGACCCTCCTTCCACACCTACCTTTCACATCCTCTCTCTTTTTCAAAATTCGTTAATAGTTCTCTCTTACATTTAATTATATATATTATCTGTAACCAACAGAAAGATTTTCATCTATTAAATGATGTATTGAAAAACATTATTTTCTGAACAGTTAAATGTCAATTTCACTCAGAGTGCCAACATCATTCTCGTGAGAAAGTTAACGACTAGCTTGGATGAATTTGTAACGACTGTTGTTGCATAATTAGAAAGCTAGAAAAATTTTGAGAGGGAAGTGAATTTGTCTACTTTTTGCATGTTATTAATTTATATTCTTTGGTGCATTATTTAATTAAATAAAAATTAAGTGCATTACTACCATTAGCATAAAACAACTAGGGTTAACTCTCTTTGACAATCAACTGAAAGAATTATAATTCTTGTTTTCATGTTTATTCTTTATGTATAATTACAAAAGTAACTAAAATGTAAAAATTGGGATCCTTTTAGGTTATTTAACATTAGATTAGGTAAAATAAATAATATTAAAATAAAAATGTTTCACAAGGCAACATGCAAACAGTTCATAAAAGCTCATGGGTAATGTAATTTGTTAATGTAACATGAACTGCACATTCCCCGAGTGATTTACAACTTATAATGGTGCGGATGGTAGTTAGGCATGGTTCAAAGGGCAATAAAACAATAAAATATAATTATAAATAGATATATACTGTTATGAACTTAGAGCTACTTAAGATAAACAAACATAGTTTCATGTTACAATTTGAAGTCATTCTAGAAAGAAAAAAAAGAATAATTTAGGTTTATTTCGATTGTTTTTTTTTTTGGTGGTTACAAGGTCGGTCAAATTGACCAATCCCGTTTTGAGATAGGGTAGAGAAAATAACAGATAAACTATAAAACTTTAATGCTTAATATTTTAAGTTAGAATCAAGAATCACTAACTTTGATATTTAATCTAAAGTAAAAGAAAAAAGTTTTTTTACAAATACTTACTTATTAATTTCTTAATGTTCAAATGCATATTAACAAAAATGCATTGTACTTTTTTTATTGGAGAAATGTGATAAATGTAAAATAAGATCTACAGTGCCGTTCTTTGGTTTTGATACTAATTATATGATACAGAACTTAGTGATGAATACCCTGTAATTTTCATGCCTGTAGATTATTACATCAAGAATCATGGTACAATGTAGAACAATTTTTAAATGAAAAAGGAATATGCAAGTTACTTTAAAGTTCTAATTACTAACTAGTTTATATGGTTTTACTTCTTTATATTTAATAAATTTAGTTATTCAGCCTTCATGGGTATTAAATGTTTTAGCTGGTGTATAATAAAACAAAAGTATAAGAAAGGCCATTAAAAAAAATATGATCAAATCTTTTATCTGGTATTTCAATGAAATTCTGACAGTTTTGTGATTAAATGTAAACATCTTGTGAGGATATGCTATACTGAATAAACAGATAAGTTTCAACCAAAAGCTTTATAAACTTTGGAAAAAAATCTGTATAAGCATGCAGGAACTGGTGTACACAACAGCAACAAAAACAAATAATTTATTTATAGAACAAATGTTCACGTACCTGATTGAACGTTTGGGTGACTTTAGCTCGGTCAACAGAGGGCTTAACTTCTTCCAGTGGTTCTTTTTCTACACTGTCTTCTTGCTGATCAGTCAAGTTGGATTTCTTAAAGTACAAACATACAGTAACTTATTTTAATTATGCTACACGTAGAAAAATAACTTAAATGATGACTGTTTGTGATTATTACCCAAACACGACAGGTAACTTAAGTAAATATCTTAAAAATCAATAATACTACTTTCCAGCTAAACAAAACTTGTAAATGTTGGTTAGAAAAACAAATACATTCATGAAACTTGAATTAATTAAAAACTACAACAAAATAGCAACCTAACCTACTGATATCAAATGTCAAAAAGATGTTTATGTTTGTATTACACACTGTAGAGGAAACAAATTTATTATAATACTTTAAGATCCTAATTAATCTATTTGGTTTTTACTCTTGAATTCTACGTCATAGAACAGCTTCGAACAAAAGTAACTCAATTGTCTCTAGATGTGATTTGCTTTTGAACCACAAGGAAACACATTTGGTAGCTAAAAATGCCTTTTCAGTTAACACTACTCAATAATATAAAATAAGAGGTTAGTGTTCCCAACAAGTATCTGTAAACTGAACTCCAACAATGTTATTACCAAAATTTTATTACAATTACATTTTGAACATTTTCCTCAAAATATTGAATTTCTGTATTCAATAACACTTGTACATGATCTTAATATCGTAAAAGCTCTACAATTCTCACTACAAGGCACTTTTTAGCATCATTTTCTAACTCATACTCTTTTAACTATAGGATTAAGAAAATTACTCAAATATAAAATTCCAAATCAATCACAACAAAATCAATTTCTGCCCCCAGCAAATCTTTATGATTGGGATTTGAAAATATTAAATATAATGGACAAAAGCTTAAGTAAAAATTTTAATGTTATTATTTAAAGCATGTGAATACTATTTTCTATCATACCAGTTTCTAAATGCAAAAAAACAGTATTTACTTTGATATGATAAAAAATGAGTTCATTTAATTAACCCTTTGTGCACAGTTGGGGTCAAAATGTGTCCACCACAACCTTTTACACAGTGCCATTCAACAAAATTATATATCTGAAGTCAGAGTTAAACCATCATTTTATCCTACATTGCTGATTCAGCCATTCATGGCAAAGGAGAGTAAATAAGGCAAGCAGTAGCAATGTCTATTGTAGGGAGGGCTTAAGTTGTTCATCAAAATGGTGTTTTAAATATCTCTTCAATAGGTCATGAGAACTTTACAATACTGTATCATGTTTCCTTTTATAAATATTTATGTAATGACTGAGTCACAATTTCTTGTTCTTCCTTCTGCTCTTTCTTTTATTACATAATAACTCAAAAAACAAAACGGTGTCAATCAATTCATAGGTGACAATTTTAAATGGAGTATCCGCTCTTATAAGTATTATTAATAACTAGTAATTAAGAAATTCATAATTCTAGTGTAAACAATGGTATCATTATTCCTTGAAGTTAGTTTTCTTACAGAAATTTGGTTTTCCTTTAAAAAGCTTATGTACAGGGTGAAACAGGAATTACCAGCCAATAATAGATAAACAATGCATATTACAGTTGGAACCTCAGTGTATTTAGAACTTGGCTATAAATATAACCTTCCTATGTGTATTGAAACACTGCATTAAAAAACAAGAACACATTAACATCACCTTGAACTCCATCTCCTCAAAAGTTTCAATCAGACTGATGCCAGAAATTCAGACATATCTTAAGTACACATACATATGTAACCCATCAGGTTTTTTGTGAACACTCATTTATTTCACTAAAATCTTACCGCATTTCATGTAGATTGTAAATTCAAAATTATAGTCAACATTCCTTCTTCAAAACAGAGAAATTGGAAAATTTAATAATTACTTAGGACAGAGTTGTTGAACAAAACAAATCAAAATTCAAAGCTGTTTAAAAACAAGGATATGCATGTGTCAAAGTAGCTTAAACACTCATCAACGACCTTATGAAGCATGATCAGATACTAAATTATTTCAAATATCCATAACTTTATCCAAGTATGATCATTTGCCAACTGATTTTTAGTTTTCTTATATCAATTTAAATATGATCCCTTACTAACTGTTTTAGTTATTATAAATTTGATCATTTATTAAGAGATATACATGTAAATCTAAGCCTGATCACTTACCAACTGACTTACAGATATTCCAGTGTCAATAACCTCACTATCTCTAGAAGTGTCATCTCCTTGCTGACTGCTGAAACTTGTGGACTGAGAGATCAAATGTATGATTTAAATATATAATCAGTATTTAGTCTCAATAATTGTTGTTTATTTAAATTTTACATTTAATAAATTGAAACATTCAGTGACTGGGCATTAAGACAAAGATCACATGGTCTTGTTATTTTTGTATATAAAACCATTGTCATTTATTTTGTAAGCATGGCTATGATCCTCAAATTACTGTGATATGAACCAAATCAAATTTTTTTACAATTTCTGTGAGAACTTAACTGTATGAAGAAACAACTTTTCTTAGACTTGAAATTAATTTGGGTTATAGGTGCATAATAACCCAACATTATTTTTAATTACTCATTTACTAACTTTTAGAAATATTTATAAATATTACAGTATACTTTATTCACTGTCTGTCTATATGCTTACAAACTTTATGTGCATAGGTAACAAGCAAAAATTGCTCTCCACAGATTTGAATTAACTGTTACTCATGAATATAAAAAATTAAAACCAGAAATTGTATTTGTTTTAATATCAGCCAAAATCCACTAAACAATGCTAACTTTTTAAGAACTCTCTAAGAATAACCTAACAACATATTGTACAGTATTTTCAGTCATTTCTGACATATACAAGTAAGTAAAAGCTGGTGATGAATAATGTTTTTAAAATATCTTATAATTATGGTAAGGAGGTGATGGTGAACAGATATCAATGCTTAGTAACCTATACAATCATCCAAGCTAATCATTATCTAATTACTTTTTTCTTCTTATGACTAGAAACTAATTACTTTAGCTTGCTTTATACAGTCCGATACCATTGGTTCATTTCTTTGAAAATTTTTAAACTAATCTGCCCTATTAAATTTTTTACATATGTAGTAGTAAGTTGTGCAAAAGAATGTTTTTGATAGTTAAATTTCACCATAATTTATAGTACTTTGTGATAAATACATCTCAAAATTTTGTAAGTTAATAAAATTTACACATGCAATACTCCTCAATTTTAAAATTCCAGCATTCTTTGTTCATAATACATGAGAGTTTAAAATGTGTCAACAAAGTGCAACAGCACGAAAATAAATAAAATCCATGCAGGTTGTGTTACAAAATAAAATGAAAAAATCATGTGTCAAAAACGAGATTAGGGTTTAAGAAAATGAAATCAAACCAGTACAAACAAAAAATAAACGTTTCTGAGTGCCACACATATATATATATATATATATATATGCAAAGCTACATGAACTTAAAGAAGCCGCAAGCAGGGAACTTACAAGAGACTTGACATTGACGCCTGTGGTTATTGCATCTCGAGTTGGAGAGACTTTGCCTTCTTGAACATGCTGAACATAAGTAGATTTCTACACAAGAACATGCACATCACAATAAACCAAAATATTTAAATTAATGAATTTCACATTAAACAAAATCCATGTGGAAAAAAACAACAAAAAAAAACACTGCAACAGCATTAATGCAACTCGCAAACTAAAAATAACTCATGCTATTACACAAAACCTTACTACCATCCTAATTATAGAAACAGTACTGTTTTATCTATCTCAACATATCTAGCTTGTTGTGAACCATGATGTACTTGTGGCATTAATAAAACTCTTATTTGTTATTTATATTGGTTTTTAATTTCAATGTAACAACTCAAACACTGCACTATAGTGTTGTGTTAATAAATCACAAAATGTTAGCATTTTAGCTCTCACACTTACAAAGATAGTTTAATCCAAACTCATATAACATGCTATATAAAAAAATTAAAAGATGTTGCACTACTGACCAGACTTTTCAGGTTCACACCAGTCTCCACCTTTTCTTTGGTTCCTGGCTGAATAGCACCTTCCTCTGCACCAGAGGTATAGGTGGTTTTCTGAAGTTCAATGATTATTCACATCAGATCAAATGACAAATGAGCTGTATGACTGACCATAATTTATATTTTATCTATTATAAAATCATATATAAACCTATGAAACTTACACTAGAAGAAACTATTGAATATAACTATTTTTTTTTTTTTTTTTTGAGCAATTGAAAAGATGCAAGTCTAAATATGTAAATTCATTTCCAACTGACATTAAAATCACACATGCAGATGCTAAGCTATATTTTTGCAAGGTTTTTTCTTCTTATAACTTATTACAGATTTGGAATAATGAGTCAAATACTAAAGACCCACTTTAACTGGCACTAACTCTATGCAATTTGTAAGATCAATATAATGACTCATGTACATTTTTGTGTTTGTGTGTTCATGTTTAAAGACAGAAAAATCTAAATCACAGGTAATATTGTAAAATATTGATTTTTAAAAATGGATAAACTATCAAAATATGAAATGCATGGGTAGGAAAGTTGATTATAGGCAGCTTTATTGCACATATTTCCTGACAAAGATAAGATTTTAAAAAGATTTGTACATTTATGATAATAAAACAAATGTTGGTAAGAAAATTTAAAAAGCAAACAACTTACAAGCTTGGCCACAGATATGATATTTTCTTCCTGTGTCACTTGGTCAGCTTCTTTAAAGTCCTGAAGAAAGAAAAAATTACCTAGCATCTTTTATAACTTTAAAATCACAACAAGTTCCCAGAGTTGAGATACAACCATGATGTTGGGGAATTACACAAGATTAAAAAACTATAAAATAAGAAACCAAAAAAAGCCAAGCACATTTGTAAAAAGTTCTTGAAGATTTTTTTTGTTTGTTTGGTTATTTGTTGTCAAGTACAAAGCTATACAATTGCCTATCTAAGCTGTGCCCACCAAAGAAATCAAAATATTATTTTTAGCATTGTAAGACCTTAGGCTTACCACTGTACCACCAGGAGTGTTGATAAAGTAACTGATGTACAAAGAAACTTATGGTTTGTTACAAATGGAAACCAGCCAACCTGGTCTTAACTGAAAAAAATTCTAAATACCAGTAAAGCTAAACAGCCTTCAACTATGTCATATCTTGCAAGCAGACAAATTTTATTATCAAGTAACTAATTTTGCTTATTTATTCTTGTATAAGCAAATATCATTTCCACATACATATGTCTTTTCTAAGTGCCCTACAAAGATAAAAACTACAGATGATATCAAAAGTACTGTTATCATTCCTATCAATCTTTTATGAATATATACAATCCTTTTAAACTAACAATGTTTTGTTTAAAATGCAGATATGATCACAGCTAGTGTGACCAGAAGTTTGTAATATTTAAATAGTAATGGGAACACTGTTACAACACTATGCAAATAAATATAACACGTCCAATTTTTTATCTCATAGTGTCAAGCATGACTAGACTGTAAATTAGACTTGTTGTTTAACCATGATTAGTATGAAATTATCAAAAGCAAGCTACTTCCACAGATCAGATAAAAAAATTAACCCAGAAACAAATATAGCTTACTTATGACATAACAATGTTTTTGGACAACATGGGTCCTATTGGTCCATCTTAGCTGTCTCACCCTTTAACCTAAACTGAAACTATTAATAAATAATTTTTTTTTTAATCTTAAAACCAACCCCTATCATTCATATGCTTATCAAACTTTCTCTTAAATTTACTGCCTCTACAACAACAGATAACAAACCATTCCAAAAGCCAACCACTTTGTTAGAAAAATAGAACTGTCTTAGCTGAAGATTGCTCCTACCCTGTCCAAATTTGTGTCCTGGCTATTCTAAGTTTCAATGAAAAGTAAATATTTGTCTAGACCAGGGGTCACCAAACTATGGACCACGGGCTGGATCCGGCCTGCCACTTCACTGTGCCACAAATGAGCTAAAATATAATTATTTATATGGCAATATCATAGATTGTAGATAAACTTACTATGTAGAAAAAATTAAAACAAGTGTAAGCAAAAATGTCCAAATTTGTCCAATCTGATTTTTGCATCTGAGAGTAATACAAGTTTTAGGAAAATCAGTGAAATAAAAAATTTGACGACTTTTTGTGACTTTGGATATCAGAGCGTATTTTGTGTAAGTACCTGCAATGAGAGTTCATTCCTGCAGTTGCCTCTGGGCGCATTATTAAAAGACGATACCATGCTTACAGGCAGTTGATACAAGTAGTGTGACGAGTAAGTGCGTGGTTATACAGCTTTGTGATAGAGAATACATGTGCGTGTATTGTGTGTGCCTCTACGTATATTTGTGTGTTGTACATATGTGTTTATATATTTATATTTAAA